TATTGGATAAAACTAAGCGCATATCTAAAAATATGGAAGAAAGTAATACAATAAATAACACCAAAACTGTTAATATTGAATAGGTCAGATCACTGCTAAAGGAACACGTGGAAGCTATAGTAAGTTAAACCGTCAGGGAATATATAGCGCTTCAGTGAGAAAATCCGGAAAATTGAAGCAGAAAGTGCAGAAAGGTTATGGCGCGCAGTGCCTACGGTGTTTATGGCGGGAAATCAGGGTAGGTTGTTTGTGATTGATGATGGATGCATTTGGTGCTGCTTGGAGAGGTGTCTCATCGGCGACGGACAACTCTGTTCTTGTTCTTGTTTCTCTTCGGTGGCTTGTTTAACGCTACTTTTTTTTTTTTCGTCTGAACATGTTGACAAGCGTACCTGAAGTATTTCGCTGTGGATCATTCAATGGTTCATCTTTTTTCCAATGATACTTTCTCCCTTTTGCTGCTGTGGATTATCAGCCTTCGGTTTCCTAAATGATGCGTATCCATCGCTCTGTTGTTGCTTTTTCTCATTCTCCTACCACATCTAAAGTTTAATGTAAAAATGAAAAATAAGTGAGTGTTGAGTCTACATCAACAACCGAAACAGTAGTTTTAGTGTTTCATCGGTTCTTCAATTAATATCTGTTGAGAGATTGTTTTCTGTTTCGTTACTTCGCTTTTTTGAAAAGGAATAGAGTTTTCTAAGTGGTGGATTTTACCTCTGAAAGATTGGGAAGAATATTTTTTGATTTTATAGCATAATCCTATGGGATTTGTGCTTAGTTGTGGATTTTTAAACTGGGAAATTTTATTATATTGTTTTCTTTCTTTTTAGTTATCCTGTAATGGAGGTTGCTCAAGAGGTCAGTACGAACGAGGGTGAGAATGCTACTGAAAAGAAAGCGCGGCCTTCAAAAGTGTTTATGGAAATTTGCAATGAGCTTGATGCAAATATTGATTCTGAGTTGCTCGACCGGTCTTGGAAGCAGTATGATACTGTTGGACAGCAGTGTATTTTAGAGGTAAACTTGAGAATGATTTTAATTTTATACTTGTTAGAATATTTGACAGAAAAAAGTGATTCTGAGGTCCCTTCACGATGTCAACTTAATTTCTAGTTTTGTTGTTAATGGGGAATTTAACTGTACTCTGTACCGGTGATTGTCTAGTAACGTACTATCCGTTTCTTTTGCTCTCGTTGCTCGTTTTTTAGAGTTCAAATATTCATTTTTGAAGCCGTTTATTTTTGTTTTGAGGAACTGATATTCCTCTCCATCGGCAACTTTATGGCTCGAAGTTAAATAGATTTATTAAGGGTAATGAGAAAGCTTGGATAGCATGTGCTATCTACCTATCGATGTGGCAGAGTGCCCCTATTGGCCAAGGGCTCAGTTATAGATATTCATTAATTGATTTGATCCGTATTTGTAGGATAAGGTATGATTTTCCTTTTATATAAAATGTCGGTAGGATTAAGTTTTGTATTTCTGTTAAAATCTAATGAAGTTATACAAATATGCTTCATTTTTAGTTATTTCTTCGTTGTAAGTAAAATTTACGTTTGCAATATTTTAATAAAGAAACATTTTTTGATTTTCATTTTTTGCAGTGTATTGGAATTCTTCGAGAAGCTTAGTAAGTGGGTAGAAATGGTTGGCAGCCCAAGACGGTTGCAAGAGCAAGTCAGTCGGATTCAATCATGTCTCGCCGTCTCGGCAGTAGTTTATAAAAAATTTCTTCCAATTTTTCGAAAGCTTTTTGCTGCACCTGGCGCCCAAGATGAAGAGAAAAAGAAAAAGTGCAAAAAAGTTTTCGAATTATTATGGACTTTGTTTATTGCCTTAAAAAGTATGCGACTGGTCACATATTTCTTAAAATAACTTGGAAATAATTTTTCTTTGTTTTTTTATGCTTTAAATGTTCACTCACTGTGTGCAAAGTTAGTAGTTTATCTTTGTCAACTATCATTTTGATTCTTCTGAATATTTTAACTTCTAGAACATTTCACAAATGATGATCTGATGAGCAGTTTTCACTTGTTGCTATGTTGCGTTGATTTCACTTTTCAAGATATTCGGCACGCCAATCAGAAGGAACTTCTGAATACGAATTTTGGTAAGGATCTTTGAGCTTAAATAGTTTTTTTGCCGGCTGTTATTGGATTTTCACTATGGGTTTTTGCAGTTAATACTTTGAATGGGGATCCTGACTCTATATTGGAGACTTTGTGCAGAACTTTCGAAGGTGTTGTCCTTGATGCAAAACATTTTTGCACTCACTGGTGGTTACCACGCATTAAAAAGATGGTGGCAGATAAACATCTAGTGCTTACTCCTGAGCTCCGTGACTTCTTTGTAAATGCGGATACCAATCTGTAGGTATTGTTGAAGGTGTATACGTTTATTATTTAGTTTGGTATTGTTATGACATTCGGGATAATCGTTTTCTATTGTTTTAGTGCTAAATTGAACAAATTTTACGAAGAAATTTTAATGAAGAAGGGAGAGATGGATGAAAGGATGTTTATACCAAAGGATGTTTCAACGGTATTTGACGAGAGTTTTGACGGTATTTTATTTTCCACCTAGTTTTCTGTTAAACTGCTCGTTTTTTTACATTAGTCTTTATGAGTAGTTAATATTTTTGTGACTTTACAGTGGTAATGTAATTTTGCGGAAGGGTTTGATAAATCTTCAGAGATTAGCGCTAGATTCTGTGAAAGTAGCTCATTTAAGAGAGCCATGCAATGTAAAGAGCCCCTAAAGGCAGTGGTATAAAAGCGCCACTTATTAGTCTTTCCTACGTACAGAAACAGTACAAGTCTTTTGAGCAGGAAATTTCTACGGAGAAAAAAGTATTCTTCGAGATCCAAACACTTTTCTTGGTTAAAGAGTTCATCAAAAACGACATGTTAAGAAGGCCTTGTTCTCTGATCAGGCTGTGAAAAGCTGATGACGGTTAGGAAGGGGAGGAGTGTTTTAATAAGGCAGTCTCCTCCCAGACGAACAAACAAGGAATATTTTAGTAACTTTCAACTGCCAATTTTATCCTCATAAATTGTTGTTTTAAAATGTTCAAAGAACCTTCCTCTCACTTCGACGCTAGGTAGTCGTCTATCAGAAATCAAAGATTATTTGTTTTAAATATCAGTCTCAAGAACTCAACATTTTGAAATTAATCCATACTGTGTTTCGTCATATAAGGGTGACTTCTAAAGATGGAATTTTGTAAAGGAATTAGATCTGTAATGTAATATCAGGACACGGCAATTAGGCTGAAACTGTAGAGTTGGCTGTGAAACTTTGTCTTGCTAGGACGACTCATCTTTCAAATGCCTTCAGTTTTGCTAAGAATGGTCAATTAAAGCATATCTGCTTCGTCTCAGTGCGCTCTCTCAGTTATGACTGTTTGGATTTAGTCAATCTACACTTGCAGTTACTTATTGAGGCTTATTAACACTGTTCGACGAGCATTTATTGTTTACTTAATTTAAAGGTGATGTTTCACTCGTCTGGTTTTTAGAAAGTGCTGTCCATCAGTTACGAAGGTCAGAGTTAGACGCCAACTGGGAAGTAGATGCGGAGCTGCTGTTGAGGATGAGTACTCAAAGTTGCTTGGAGAAACTACACGAACAAAGAGCTCAACAGACTCCCCTTTCTGGAAAAAGTTATATCATATCAGGAGAGCAGGTTTCTTTTTTTCCATTCAGTGGTGCTCCGTACTGTGTGTTTCAGTTGTTTCTTCGGAGCTCGTTTGAGTAGTTTTCTTTAAATCAAAAGTCATCACTCTTTATTTGTATGTTGTATAATTAAGCAGATTTTTTGTGTAGTGGTATTTGTTCTGAAGTGCGTTTGACGGAGCCAGTTGAATTATTATTGTTGCTTTAGTATTGTCCCGTTACTCCCATTTCTGCCGCCATGTATAACGCGTCGAAGATGGAAGCGCTTTTGCGAGATGGTTGGCAAATGTCTAATAGTGAACTAGAAAGAATAATGTCTGAGTGCAGAGAAGACCGGAGCAGCTTTATTACTGGCTATGGTATGTTACACTTAAATGTGTTTTTGTGCATGTTGTATCACATTCCTTGACTCAGTATTCCTGCACTTTTCAGTTCGTACGCTAGGGGAAAACTTGGAAAAAGCTGTCGAAGTTGAGAAAGCAGAAAAGGGTCCATCTTTTGACGAGAGTTTTTCGGATATGATATCGGTAAGAAGGAGCAACACAGACACATTATTTTATCGCCTTTTGGAGAAAATAGCCGTGGCTGAGCGTCAACGTCTTTCGCAAAATGAATATATGGATTTAGGGGTAAGGTTTTAATTAACTGTATGTATTTTTCCAAATCTTTTTTGATGCCTAGAATTTTTTTATTTAGTCTGTCCTCAGCAAGGAAGAACTTCTTAAGTCGGTTTACGCTTGTGCCCTACAACTAGTTCTCTTTACTTACCAAAGTGAAAGGGAATTTCCATGGTGTTTAGACATGTTGCGTATTGCACCAGTAAATTTTTATAAAGTTATTGAATTGGTCATACGTGCGGAACCAGAGCTTTCTCGAGAAATGGTCAAATGTTTAAATAGGGTTAGTTTTTCATTCTAATTCTGTTTGATAATCTACTCAATTTACCATTTGAACTCAGTTATATATTAAGGTGGAAGAACGTGTACTTGAAGAGCTTGCTTGGAGCCTTGGGTCACCATTATGGCAAACGTTAGCTAGAAGAGCCGATGGCGTGCCATCCAGTCTTTCAGTTTCGCTGAACGCTGTTGAAGCGTACAGTGCTCGAACGCAGTCTATGTACGGACTTTCCCAACGTTACACATCTTCACCGGTGAAATTACAAACCGGTAAGCAGTATTTTAAATACTATACTTTCACCTAGTTTTTCAGCTTTTATGGCGCTGTAGTGTGTACTAGAGCTGCGTACTTGCGTCAACGTTTCTAAATCATTTTCAGCTTTAACAAATGAAAAGTCAGTAGAAATTAAGTCTTTGAATTGCATTGAGCACTTTCGGATACTCGAACGATATTCATCTTATAAGAGTTTTATTATTTTACTGGTCTAGGTGTAGCTAAACGGCGTTTGGAATTCGATGACGAGGATGGTCCACCTTTAACTAAAAGAGTGGCTATTGATTCAGAAAATATGGCTTCAACTTCCGCAACGACCCTTTTTTTCCGAAAAGTATTTCGAAATATTACATTTCAACACTAAATTTTGCCCAATGAAGTCTTGTTTTATTGGTTTTGGATGTGATTTTAGGTCTACTACCTTGCTGCTGTACGCTTGCAAGATCTTTGTGAAAGAGTAAGGCTAGATGAGCGGGGAAGGCAGCGAGTGTGGACTCTGTTTGAACACGTTTTAAGGACCGAAACTTCCTTGATGGCTGGAAGACACTTAGACCAAAATCTGATGTGCTGTCTTTATGTTGTTGCTAAAATTGGAAAACAAGAAGTCTCGTTTCATGACATAATGTATCACTATAGACGTCAACCTCAGGCATGCTCGAGAGTTTATAGACGTGTTTTGCTGGAGAGGAATGCGTAAGTGTTTCAATTAATTTTTTTTTCCGGTATTCAAACATTTTGTTTTTCTTTACTTTTTTTTGCAGGTCACCAAGCACTGTTTCTGACGACAATGCATCGCGAGATTCTGTTGGTTCTAATTCGGGTGGCCGGTTTCGATCTGGCTCTGCCCTACCTGTACCTGGTACCGGCAGTGCTCCACCAACTCCAGAACCTCAAAATTTGGATTATAGTGACATCATTCGTTACTACAATCGTGTTTTTGTATCAAGAGTGGAATATTTCCTCAAGAGGTTACAACCAGGATTAGTGGACTTGAACGAGGTTTATTTTAGTTATTTCGTGAAATCATTTATGCGACACTTTTTTGATTATTGCAGTTGTTGTCTCACAGATTATAACCGTAATGATAGCGCGTTGACTGCCCACCTTCAAAAACAATATTACGTTGAAATAAATGTTTGAGGATTGTTTAGAATGGTGTCAATCTTCTTTCTATGCCGACTCTTCGCTGTCACACTCTTTCTCCTAGAAGAAGTGTTACTGACCATGTGTGTGTACATCCGATGTCTACAGCTACGTTTCCGGCTTCTCCATCGCGCCCACTAAGATACTGTTTTAATCGGTCACCAGGAAAGGTCGTATTAAAAACTTATAACTTAAGTTTATTGTAGGAAATTCTCCTCATGGAGTTATAATATGTTTAACGACATAACTGAGTGAAATAAAATTATTTTTACGTATTTACCTGATAAATATTTGTTTAGGACCTTAGGACTATCAATCACGTTGTTCACGCTGGCCGTCCGACGTCTTATGCTTGTAGTACCAGTTATTCGCTTTGTGGTATACGACAACCACAGCATAGTGCTAGAACAGCTTTATAGTGGGAAAAATTCCCCTCTTTTTGTTCTAGTGGTGCCAACGAGTTTTGTTTTTTGTGGAATTTGCAAGCACTTCAATTCAGGTTTCTTATTTTTCAGATCTCGGCTGTACGTCTTCATTCTTGTTCTTCGTTATTTTTTTTCATTCTGAATGGAAAAGGTAGACATTTGTTTTGAAAATGAGTAACCATTTAAACAGTTATAAAAGCTTTTTAAAGTTATTGGTCGTGGTAGCTCGTTAAAAAATCAGTGTTAAATTGTGTAATTTCGTATTTTCTGGTCTTGAAGCTCATTGTGGCTCTTGAGTTGAAATTGATAAGTTACAAGAGATTTTTGTTTATATTAACATTATTTATCCTCTATTCTGCCTGTTGCTTTTAGAATTCTTCACTTGATATAACTGCTCTGTGGGCTCTGTGTACATCATTTCTTTTTATTTAGTCTTCACCCTCATTTAATGGTTTTACTAAGACGTATTGTGTAATTGTTTGTTTAATGTTTGTTCTCTTTTTTGGAAATACGCTTTTTCTTATTTTTATATATTTCACAAACCAAATGAACAGGATGTGATTATTTTGACGCTGGTATAGTTTATTTCGTTTTGGTTTTTTGTGACTTTAGTAACATTTAGTGGAAAGTAGGAGGAGCAGACTGATTGTTTTATGAACCATTCTTTCAGCGCCGCTTACTAAACTTATATGGGTTTGGCCATTTTTAGCCTTATAATGCCTTAAATCTGGCCGCTTTGTGTTGCGTTAGTTTTTTCGTTTGTTTTTAAGGGTCACACATGGGATGGTATAATTTTATTATGTCTATTTTCTCACCTATATGTAATTTATAATGGTTTTTTTATTCCTGCGTCTGCTGCTTCTGTCAATTCATAAACAGTTCTTCCAATTTAAATTTCTGTGTTTTGAGTGAAGTTTTAGATTATGTTGGTGCATGTCGTTGCATCCTGAACTTTTGAAATGTTTTGTAATTTTTGCTGTTGCTAGAAATTCGTTCACACTATATTCATTGATTTTGCATCCTTCTGTGTTGTTCGTTAACTTTGACGAATTGATGCAGGATAATTAAACTGGAGGTGCTGTTGTTGGTAACAGAGTGATATATGCATTTAGTTCTTTCAGGGTGTAGTGGAATTTTGGGTTTGCTTTTCTTTCATTAGTTTAGTTGTACAGTCGCGGGTTCCATTGTGCATGGGATAACTAAAGGTTCTCACGTATGGCACTACTGTCCTGAAGTTTAGGTTTATAGCCTATGGAATTTTTGATATGTTTATTGCAGGTCGTTTATTTTGATGGGCGAGGCCAGATCGGACATTGGTGTCGTTGGAGCGAAACGTGTTTTGGGTGGTTTTGCGGTTCTCCATTTACGGAGGTTTTTTCAAAAAAAAGTAATTCATTGAGTACTGACAGTGTGGCGGTTGCTGTTGAAAGGGATGGAAATGTTGTTTTCGGCGATGTTGTTGTTTGATAAGAAAGACTGAATTGAATTAGCAGCTGAAATGTTGATCATTATCTTCGCTACAGATGTTTTGAAACAGCACTGTCTCAGATGTTCCGTTTTGTTTTTTTTTCTTGTCGCGGCGTACTTCGGCTTTGTCTTCCAGTTTAGCGAAAGCGGAAGTAGGCAGCGAGCTCTTTGCAGGAGTTCTCATCTGTCTGCCTTTTATTGTACTGTAAGAAGAGCCGGTATCAGTCATGTAGTGATCTAACAATATTCAAAATTTCTTCACATTGTCAATTCAAAAAAAGAGGGTAATGAATTTGGAAGACTTTCAGCAGCGGTTGTGCTATTTGATGTTGAATTCACTGACTTGTGTGAGTTGTTAAAGTAGTGGTCGACATTTTGGGGAAGTTATGGTGCTGTTTAACAGGTTACGAAGAACATATGAAAGGCATCGGGAGTTTGCTGAACGTTTACATATTTGAATGCAGAAAGCACTATTTACAGCAGTTGCTTTGAGCGTGTTTGGAAGTTGTACGGGACTGCACCTTGTTTGCCGCTGAGTCAGAGTTTAAATTATTTTTTTGTTTTGCTAATGACAGAGGGCTTTAGACTGGTGTGACAGATTCACGACCTTATTTTTCAATTTTTTTTTCCTGGGGAACTTTAGTAGTAGCTTAGCATTAGCAGTTTCAAGCTGAGGCGTCGGGTGTATTGGAATGTCAAAATGTGGGGATTCTTGGATTTTGAAGTTTTAGTCTTTTTAGTCTATAACAGTGTGTTCTCACATGTCGGTTTATCGTTTAATGTTGATAATTTTTTGGAGGATAATGAGTACTTTTTGAAGTTCTATTTTGAAAAGTAGTCGTTACAAGTTAGACATTTGAATTTTAGATATTTTTTAATGGTAAGTTTTACGTTGGTTTAAAATTCAGACTGCATTCTTCACACAAACTTACAACAACTGTTAAAGGTTCTTTAGGCTTTTTTTGTATCATAGTGTTGATAGATTTTCTGAGCACAGCAGTTTCTCATGCATCGATGATTAGATCACACTCAAGTCCAGGCCTTCACCGTTTCTGAGTCGAAGGAGTTGCTATTTCCAACTTTTACTTCTTGCGCGGACATCCTCTGGCGGGAATTTATAGTTTTTCTTTGTAATGCTATACTTATATGAATTGTCAATGATGCAGAAATCAGTTTTTTTAGTAGCTGTACAGAAGAAATCAGGGTATTTATAGAAGTCTTGAAAAATGATGCTGACCAACCAGAATTGTTGGGATTTTGTTCCTCAGGAAGTATAAAGTTGTGGTAGATTAATGTTTCACGGAAAAAACAGTTAATGGAAAACAATATTTATAGTTGAAATTTTTCTTCAAACAAACGCTTTGTCTAGTTGAACCTTTGATAAGCTGTAACTTTGAAAAATTTTAATTGGAAATTTTTTCATATTTCCTTTTTCAACTGCACTCACCTGTGTTAAGGTTACCGTGTAGTGTTAATTTTAAAACATTTGTCTATCGAATATTATTAACAAATGAAAATTTTGTTTGTTTTTAAAATTTTGGTTACTGCGTTACAGAAGAATAAAACTTAAGATAGAATGATTTCATTTTCAATAAATATAATCACAGGATTGACTTCAAGACTATTTATAAGTTTTTTCAAGAGAGAAAAAGAGGGAAACATTTGAGATCACCGTACTGAGTGAGATACACATTTTATATGAAAAATCAAAACTGACTAATCAGCAATCGCCTGTCTCAGTTGAAGTAAGAGATTTACTGTTTTGAAACATCAACGTTTCTTTGGGTGTAAAACTCAAAGGTTTCTGGAAAGAAGTTAAAATTATATAAAATGTCTAGTACTGCTACATTTAAAATTGCTGTTTTCAAATTACTGAAAGATATTTAAAGTCAGTTTTGATTTTCTGGCCTGCAATAAAAAGTGCGATAAAACTGCACAAAGATTAGAATGTACAACAAAATTGGTTGAAAACTGATGACAATTGCGTAGGATTAAGGGGAGAATAAAAAAAAAAA